GCCATGGAAGTTGTAACTTCGATAAAAAATTCTATCGAAGTTAAACTTCGATAAGAGGAAGCATCGAAGTTGTAACTTCGATAAAAATTTTATCGAAGTTATAACTTCGATACGACATATATATGAGAATATAGCTTGATAAGATCATCCATTTATTATATGTTTTTATTTATACATTTGATGATGGTTACATAAAGTATTGATTTTTAGTTGCTAACTATTGAATGAATCCAATGATATAAACACTATCGTATATTAGAAAAGAAATAGCAATTTCTCAATTTTATTTTATACAGTCAAATAAAATTCTTCACGGTTATTTTAGGAAATATCTTGTCCTAATAAAGAATAAAAATTATATGTGATAAAATACAAGATGAATTTGGTATAAGTGTTAGATAAAATATTTTTTAGTATTTTCAACTCTCTTTACACCTGAAATTAAATCAAAATCGATGAAAATACATCGTACTGGATAATTGATTGAGACCGATTTATCTAATCTTTGTATGATGCATAAATATCTAGTACAGTTAACAATGTTGATATACAATCAAAAACTATTAATTCAAATAATTAATACTCTTAAAAATAAAAATGTCAGCAGTTGTTGTTATTATTTTTTATAAAAGTAAACAAACTATTAGTGAATTTTATAAATTTGGATTTGATACATTTTTAATGTCTTCAAAATACTTTTGGTTTAATTTTTCATCAGTCAAGAGCACCTATTTTTAGCATGTTATCTACACCTGGTTTGTCACATGCATCTACTAAAGAATGAAACAAAAAAGCTTGACAGATTAAATATGCGCTCACCTTCACGATGACGATATAAATTTGGCTCGCTGTATTCATATCAGCGTTTATACATGGATTTTGTCCTTCGTATCTTTTCGTGAATACAACATTTGAATTCATTATGTCTCAGCATCATGTAACTGGTGTTCCTAAATATTTATCATTCGTTACCAATCGTTTACTTGAAACAGCCGTATGGACGTTTGCTGAATTAGGTATTGCCGATCATCTTGCAGCCGCTGATGCACCACAAACGGCTGAAGAATTGGCACAAAAACAAGGATGGAATATTGAATATCTCTATCGACTATTACGTACTGTAGCCGATGCTGATATTGTACGTGAAATAATTTCGAATGAAACAATTGAACCAGAAAAAACAAATTGTTTTGAATTAACTGAAGATGGTCGTTTTCTCACATCGGTTCATCCAAGCAAAGCTCGATATTTAATTTGTTGGGAATTAAGTCCTCTACTCAAAACAGCTTCACATTATTTACCTGATTTAATACGTGAAGGTTCTAGTAAAGGTACTGGTATTCAACGAATAATTAATAATGAATCAATCTTTGATTTCTTGAAAAAAGAAGAAAATAAAAAAATGGCTCATAATTTTAACGAAGCTATGACCAGTTTGTCATCATATAATAGTCAATATATTGTTAATAGTGTTGATTTTGATCGATTTAATACAATCGTTGATATCGGTGGTGGTTTAGGCTCTCTTTTATCTCATATACTTGAAAAATATTTAACAATAAAACAAGGTATTTGTTTTGATTTACCTAATGTTATTCAAGAAAAACGAATTGAAACAGAATTTGAAAAACGAAACATATCTAAAGATCGATATCAATTTGTCGCTGGAGATATGTTTGATGCTAAAACAATTCCACAAGCTGATGCTTATATTATGAAATGTATTATTCATGATTGGAATGATGATCGAGCCATTGATATTCTTAAAGCTATTCGAACAGCAGCTAATGGACAACAAATAACAATATTTATTGTTGATCTTATTATATTACCTGAAACTGAGCAAAATAAATTTATTAATCAAACTGCACATGCAATTGATATTCACATGATGATATTATTAGATGCAAAGGAACGTACTCAAACTCAATATGAATATCTTTGTAAACAAAGTGGTTTTCGATTTAAACATTTATATCATACAGAAACACCATTTTCGATCATCGAAGCTGTAGTTAATTAATTCAATGAACTAAACATATAATTCTTTTGATTGTTTTTATTGTATT